TCAGTTAACCTTTCAGTTTCAAGGGCCACCCGAAAGTCTTCGAACACGCTTTGGGTACTACCATTACCGCACAAACCATCCCCCTGTGCCTAAAAGAGTCTAACACACGCTGTCTCAGCACCCCCTCCCTTCCAGGGAGTTAAAACGTTGGTTAAGTCTGTGTGCCTCCACAGTACACGCTTATTTTTGCGTCAACAATACATCGTTGTCTAACTCACCCGACTTCCTTTTCTCTCGCGGCGTGCGTGCTGATAGGAGTAGACTTTTTAATCACATCCTACGGATAGTGTCTTGTGTAACATCTAATCGCCCTCGTATTCAATAATGTCATTAGCTTTTCCTCCCTGTATATCTGTATTTACATTGCCCCCTCTCTGCGTAGAAACCCTCTGTACGGCTTCGTTTTACTCATAATACTGTTAAACCCTTTTCCATGTCGACATCTTTTACTAATTAGAAAATTACCTTTTATTTTAGACTTTGCTTTTGAGGGCTTCAGTTTGGAGTCTTGTCGCAGCCTGATCGCCATGATGGACGTGAGTTCTCTCGCCTTGTCTTCCTGTCGCCTGTCAGTATTTTCTCTCAAACAGAGCCATGGTCTATCAAATGGGCGTATCGTTTTTTGTGATTTCATGAAGTGACTAAATTGGAGAAGTAAATATCCACTGTAAAAATGAACCATGTCATTGAAAAGCCATTTCAAACTTCCCGTTTCCCAGTACGCAGTTCCAATAATATCGATTGTAGTAAGGTTCTAAACTGGTATCGTAGATTTTCTGCCGCAAATTGCTTTAGAGCTATGTTTTTTGGGATCAACAATGCATGCACTCCTCTTTTTGATATCTTAGACCATGCTGATTGCAATTTTCTCTCAATTTAATGTTAATTCGGAAGAACCCGATTATGTACACTAGTGTGTATGTCAGCCCTGATCTTCTTTTGCAAAACACCTATTTCCTGTTGGCGGATGGTTTTCTCCAAAAAGACTTGCCGTGCGTTGCTTTCATTGTGAGTGGTCTGCCTCCGGTGCATGAACGCTTAAGAACCTCGTGTGCATCTCATCTGATCACTGCTCAACAGTCCTTCGAGAATGAGGCTTAGCACACGAGTTCTGTCTTAAAAGTGCTCATCCAGATGCACACTGACAAACAAAAATTGATGCTTGACACGTGGCCCGATGCACTTAAAGGTTTTCTTCTCCCCTCATGACCTTCGTTTCGATTTCTTGGCTGAATTATTTTGGATTATTGGTGAGAATCCCAGTAAGTCTTTCATTGCGCTATATGGGCTTTTGCGAGGACGTCCATCCTATTTATTTTTGACTCTTATTAACCCTCATACTCGTTAGGTTGACCGTTCAGGAACTCTCGACTTTGAGGAATTTAAGACCTTGTGGGAGATTCTACGTCATTGGAAGGTAATGTGTCGATGCGTGTACATTTTACATACTATTATTACTCCTTCCGCCGTTGTTCACTTTATTTTCTCCCATAAACCGCCTCTTTAGCACTGTTCAAAAATTCGTATTCAATTCTCAAGTAATGAGTTAGCGTTCTTGATGGAGAGCATTTTTGAAATTCATGTTTCCCCTAAAAGCTGGATAACCATGAGCACAAACTCCATTCGACCTTGTTTCGGATAATGGTTGACAAGCATCGCTTTTTGAAACCAGGGCGCGAAGTGAACGTGTTGTGTCCTCTCGTGTTACATGGTCTTGCTGTATTTATTTCACCGGCAACGAACTACGTAGGACTTTCCCTGGATCGACGCGAGCTAAATCAGGGTACGGCATGAGCTACAAGGCTGGGCAGCCATAACAAGTGTACAAGGGGGTGTGGCGGCGCACCTATGTGCCGGCCAATGCCGCGCCAACCCTCTGTCCTCGATTTCCGTCCCCCAGTCTTCATGACTGCCTTGACACCGGGCTCAGGTTGGCAAAGGGAGAGTGGGATAGATGCAGCGCAAGTCCACTATCACCAGGCCAATTCACGCGCAAGTCACCGTCCCTGCGCCCACCCTGCTGTGGAGCGCACGGTGGGCATCGTCGGAAACGACGGTCGAACTGTCGTCTCAACAATATTTGTTTATCAGCGCAATTATTTTTACGCCTGTAGGTTCGATTTTGTTATCTGTCTTGTCATCTGCACTCGTGCCGTAACCCTTTTGTGACACTGTTGAGGGCCTGAAATTCTGACGCATTTTGAACTGCCTGGACGGTATCTTGGCGGTCGCTTGGATTTATTTGTTAGTGTCTTTATCTACTTCGAACTTTTGTCACCCCCTAGCTGTTGGAACACTATGACTTTGGAAAGAGGGATTGAGGTCAGTGCTGCAGAAACCTTCCTCACTGCAATCCTGTTTTCCTTCAAATCACCCATAACTCCCAGGTGATGGTAATCCCCGTCGAGTTTAATAAACATGGTGTCGTAGCAACCTAGAATTCGGAGTTATACCTTGGACTTCATTTGTTGACCTTGTGAATTTCCAGCTAGGGCTTCGTGTGCTCATCGACTTCTGCCTCTGGGTGGCCGGTTTTTATTTGAGCGAACCCGTTGCATACAGTACTACTACTACTACTACTACTACTACTACTACTACTACTACTACTACTACTACTACTACTACTACTACTACTACTACTACTACTACTACTACTACTACTACTACTACTACTACTACTACTACTACTACTACTACTACTACTACTACTACTACTACTACTTCCTTTGCTGCCCCTACGCCAATAATTCTGCTCGTAGCACTAAAACCTGCCAGTACCACTCTTTCTACCACTACTATTCACATGAGCGTCGCCACCACTACTCCAGCCCCTGACACGCCACCATTGATCTGCTATCATTATAAATTAGGACCATCCTTTTTTGGATATGTTTATCGCATATGCAGTTCAAGTTAAGTCACCGCCTGGAGGCTGCCGCAAGCATCTTTGTGACGTTTTATTGTCCCTTATAGGCTACTTTTAAGAAGTTCGACGCGGACAAGAATGGAACTATGAGCTCTTTCGAGCTGCGAAACGCTCTCAAATTTGTGGGTAAGTTGGTTATGTGGTCCAAATGTTGTAGGTGATTTCTTGCGCCTGACGTATTTCCCCAACAGACAATACGTACGGTTGTAGTTCAGATTTCGACACACCATTTGGAGAGAGTGTCGGTTGCGCGAGTGATCAGACAACAACCGACCTCATTTGTTAAGAGGAGTAATGTTATCACCTTTGTTACTCAGTAAAATACTCTAAAATTTTTGAAGTTTGTGACAGAAGTTTTGAGTTAGGCCACCTGTTTACAAGTTCTTGCAATTTTCCTTTGCACATGTCTTGAGTATATTCCCCCAAGAATGAAGTTAAGCTCATGATTCCGAATGCACGTATCTGATAACGCACTCGTCTTTAATTTCAAAGATAAAACTCGACTGACGAACAAAGAAGGATGCAAAGGTCATGCATATCAGATAAAATGCACCTTGATGCATTAAACTTCATTACATGATATTGCCGTCGTCCGATGCTGTCAGTTTATCAATCCTCCGTACCATACTGTAGACTGCGTGGTTGGTAAATGTGATGGGTATTTCATCCCGAGTTTGAACTGAGGCATCTTTCAAACTTATTAAGTTGGCCGGTAACTAATTGTTTCCGAATTTGTACTGTCGGGTTTAGGTCAAGTGACCGCTCAGACCTCATTCGGGTTCGTGCCCCATTGCTGTTTTTAAAGGCGACAATAATTTCCTTCCGATAAGGGGCTTCGTACTCACTCTGCCTCGCGATATTATCCAATCCTCTTGTAGTCAGTAGTAGGTGTTCCCAAAGTTCTCCTTATCATCAAACTTTAAAGGTGTAATCACATGCTCGCTCCAATTGTTTGTCCATGGTGGCTTTTTTGCTGTCTCCTCCCGAAAGTTCGATTTTACCCTCTGGATATCCCACCTGGACTGCGACTTGTCAGTCCAGACTGCTCAATTTCATAGATTCTGTTAAGTGCCTTTGTTCATTTCTACAGACGGACCCTTTTGGGTGTTCTATCCGTAATCCATGCGCAATGTCGCATTGTCCATTCAAGTCCTGTCATTCTGTGGGCGTAATTTACCAAGATACATGCCTTTGACGTCTGTTTCTGAGATCGCCTTCATTCAACTTCCCTCAAATTTTGGACAAAAATGCTGAAACCCGACACTGTTTGTGACATCTAGATGGACATAAATGGACTGGCTCTTATGGCTCTTAGCAGCATGTTGTTATTGTGGTATACATACTGCCGATTTTTTTCCGATTTGTAATTGTGTCGTCAACAGCTACTACAGCCAAAAACCGTTGCCTGCAACACATACATGAAAGACAACACGTTTGGCGACGTACATAGTCGATTTCTTAAATATGGATAAGAATATTTCTCTAAACTCTGACCCCTTTTAGAAACGAGCTGTAGTCATCATTTTTACGCAATCTAACAACTGCCGTGTACATCGCCACACCGGAAATGATCAAGAGCATGACATTTCATGAGTGGTCCACGCAGATTTCCCATCGCACGCTACATGGAAGGAAAATAGCGCAGCTAACGGTCCTCGCGTTGGAAGTATGCCTGCATAAACGGTGACCAGCAAGCGACGCGTTATACCGGCATATCGCAACCAGTACGGCCGGAGATTTCAGGCGGACTATGATACGAGGCAGGTTATGATTGATAACCATTGAGCACCCATGTAATTGAAGTCGCCTGCGGCCTACATCCTGCAAGTCAAAGTGACTTAGTAGTTAGTATTTTTGACAGACGGGAAGACTGACAAGATAGAGGTCTGTTGTAGGGGGACACGTAACGCTAATTAACGAGCTGTATATATGCTTTTCTCCCTCCGGCTAACTGGCCGAAATGTTCAGCAGTTCTGCCTACGCAAGCGACAGGTTCCACCGCTTTATTCACCTGCCTCTATTTAGTGATTATCTCTGCATTCTTCATTTTTGACCGTAGAGTGGAGGAAGGTTTTTTAGAGAATCGATAAGGACGAAGAGACATTCAGAAGCGCAAACCAGGGAGCGAACGCGATTCGGCTGCACCGTTCAATTTTTCAAAGCACAAATACCACGGCAACGTCAGATATGGTTTCCTTTCATATGCATACGCCGGTTCGACCCCATACTGCTTCACTTTGTTTGATTGCGCTTGAAAACGAGGCGGTGATTGCAAGTTGGTCGGAGCATCGTTCTACAAAACCTATTTCATGCATCTCGAAAGCTATCGAAATGGATAAATAGATTTCCTTGATTATGGAAAGGGCTCAGATGTAAATTGCTGAAAAAAAGGTTTGTGGTGCACGTTTCCACTCGGTAAGCGCATGCGAAATTTGAGCCTCGCGCGATTTCTTGTGAGGTTCTCGTATCAAGACTTCGCTCAAACAACCTCTGAAGACGGTAGGTGATGTCACCAGAGCTGTTAGTTGCCATAAGCCAAGTCCGCCAAGCCCCGAATTTCTTGCCAACTCATGTGAGACGATGGATTTAGATCACAAGTACTGGCTTTGTCGTGAAGATGTTCGAGGGCTTTCGGAAGGCAAGGCGTCCGCACGTGTTATCTCTCCGTAAACTGAGTTTTTACCCTTCTCCGATTTTGAGAAAGTTAATTTTCCAATTGCTCCAGTGGGGTGGTTTGTAGTGACTCATCAATGGCACTTTCGACAAACTGAGCACCTCTTACGTCGATCGGCAAAGCGCTGGGATAAACTAGTCCGGATCAGGGTGGGGTGAACGCATCCGGGGGAAAGTTGCAACGTGGGATTCCGAAGACAAATATTTCGAGGATTCATTGCATTTCCGGTTTCGATGCCTCACCACAAGGGGATCCATAACGCAGGAATGTGGGATGTCTCAAAATTGTCCGCCTGATCTCCCCACGCTTTAGTTCATTTGTAGGCTGTGAAAACGCATATCTGACATTAGTGAGAGGAAAAATCCATACATCTTAATCACGGTCTGGTGCATAAAACGTCGTTTTCTAAACGGCAGCTGTCCGTATTTTGTATATTAATTTATCCCGAACGAGAAAATAATCGCCTCTTTGCTTCTATTAGTAAATAATCAACTATTTGCTGTCTTTAGTATCTTCGTACTTCCGAAAATCTGATTGTTGATTTTGCAAGAAGCAAATCTAAAAAAGGAAAGGCTGAAGAAGATGCGTGTGCACTTTTGAATAACCAAACCATGTCCTCCTCAACTTACACCCAACTACCGGCCGAGCCATCGCATTAGTCAAATAACGCCTTTCTGCTCTACTTTTGTTAATACTATAATTGATTTCCTTATTTTTGTCGTCGGTTGCGGCATGTCAGTCTATGTGCTGCTAGCCAATAAGCATCGCGAAACACTTCATTAGAGCATCGATCCGTGCCAGACGGTAGTCACCGCGCGAATTTTTCCTCCCTCGTCTTTTTCGCCTGAATGCAGCCACTAGAGACTTGTTTTGGGCAAAACGGACTCATTTCCCCCATTTATCCAGCCCAGGGCAGCCAAAATGTGTCTGTTTCTCCTAAGTTCTCTATTCGTCTTTATAGACCGAGCTTTCTGGTAGTTCTCCCCACAATCCAAGGGTCACAGTTTTAGGTTCCACTAGAATCGATAACCCGTCATTGCTTTCTTTTTTGGACATCATTCTACGCGTTTATGAAGCCTATTGTCCTTGAATTTTTGAATGTCTTCTCATCCGGCCTTTGCAGCATAAATTATCTGTTTGTTTTTTGCTAAGGATTTTTTCGTTTTCTACCGCCTACTGCTAAAAAGTATTCCCTCTACCATGCCAGGTTACAACATTAACAACGCCACTTTCGGAAGCTTGGTTTTGCGTTTCGCAAACAGGGAACAGATTCTTCACTTTGATGATTACATAATCTGCTGTGCTCGTTTGCGAACTGCCTTCGAGTGTCTCAAAGCCAAAGAAGCCAACACCTTTACTTCCGACGAGGTGCGTTGAATTGTCCACTTTGTTGCTGGAGACTGAACAGTAGTTCAGTGTGTGCTCCACGTCACTTCTCGGATCCCAGTTGGTGCGGCGGGAGCCTGCAACTGGGCTTGCCACCGCACCGCCGTGTGTTGGCTCTCGTTATGGATGCCAGCATTCCCGATAACGCCTGCCAGAATCCGATCTAGCCCCCGGTCTGGTCCAGCGCGCATCTGCCGCTTGGCTTGTTTAAAGGGCACAATATACACACACGACTTATGTGATGGCAAATGTGACATACAATTTTATGTTTTTTTAAAGAATGTAAGACTACCGTCCCGCGTCACCCTAATCCACCTTTCCATACTGCGATCTTTCTAGAGTGTAATACATCGCCGTCAGAATATTGTCTTTTGAGAAACAGAAAGTAATAGTAAAAAGAAGCATGCCCAGCCGTTCGGACAAGAAATTTGCTTCACCTTATGTCTTGGATTCACGCTCGAGACCAGCAGCAGAGACTGTGACAAATGATGATGCCGGACGCACGAATGTCGCAATATTTATAGGATGCAGTTGCCATGCCACCATATAACTGACAGAATTGACACCACCCACATTAGTTCTCGGCGGTTGTACTCGGTGCAGCGATTGCTTTATCGTCCACATTGCTGCAAATTCATCACTCGTATTTTCGGGGTACTCGTTTGCCCTTAGCGCCCATCTTAAGTTATTGCAATTGGGCAATCTTGCCTTTCGATTCATCGCAGTACGTCTGAACACGTCCTTACGCAACCGCGTTTATGACTGATAGGATGGTTACTGTTCGGGCCGAGCGCCTGCGCCCCTTTTTCCGCTTTCCTGAATACTTTATCCTTAACGTCCTTACAAACTTTGCGGCAGACAGGGGCAACAAGGTTAGCCGGTCGTTTTCCCGCGCACGCGGAGAACGCGCGAGCCAACGCTTCTCTTCCAGTGACAGTGTCAGCGAGGCAAATTGTCGAGTTATTATCACGCCAGTTGTCAACAGAGTTTAATGACTTGAATACAGACGATCGAGCAGTCATCACACCACCGGGAATAAATGGAAGAACTGCCAATCTTTCTAGCTAATATGGTGGCATAACAACTGTATCCTGTAAAGATTGCAATCTTTGTGCGCCCACTGCCATTATTTGTCGTTGTCTCTGCTGATGCTTTGGAGCGTGGACCCGAAACGTGAGACTGGCAAGAGTTAGTACTCAAGCGGCCGAGTATTCCTTCCCAGTTGCCTCCCGGACCTCAGCTTTTCTTATATCAGTAATTATTGTGATTCTGGCTTTTTCAACGTGTCTTCGGTAGACTCCAGTGATATTATCACTCACCGTATACTTGTTATTCCCGGTTTGATTTTCGTTGTGAAATACAAAAACACCGATGGCTATGGGGGTACGCTTCAAAAAAAGGACGCAGGCGATTTTTTCATGCCAACTGTCACTCATCAGTACACTTGTCGACGTGGGACGCCGACGCCAGAGTTCCCAAACCGCAAACCAAGATGCTTATTTCGACCACCTTTACTGGTGCGCCGGCAACATGTTGGCGTACGGCTGCATGCTCCCGCTTCCGCCTCATCTAGATCCTAGACTTCGCAGTCCATAGGGAACGTATGATACCGCATAGCATTTATCCTGGTTTATTACACGTCGCTTACTTGTGCACTAGGAAAGACCCATTAGGTTCCTTTTACTGCCCTCCCTACTTAGGAAGGGTATCTCCATGAGTATTATTCAAAAAAATTGAGGAAATATGGAATCGTTTTCTGCGTGAAACCTTTTCGCTCAGTAATGCTAGGAAAAAGATTTAATTCGGCGCATTTATTGTGGTTTTCAATCCCAAATCCGCGCTTTCGATGTCTTGCGACGGTTAGTCCTTGTTGACTTTTGCATTGCGGATCTAGACACTTTTCGCCTTTCGTGGTCGCGCTGAGCCGCATTTCGAAACTGACACAACTGCTGTTGAAATTTCATGCTCCGGATTCTCTGCATTCAATCTCCTTTCCTTTTCTCTTCTGGTAGCTTCTGAACATGTTAATCTATCTGTGAGAGTCTCCACGTGGCCCTGCGTACATGGTCAAATTATGAATCTTCATCAAGCAACGCCAATCTTATCAGCTTCCTCTTCGTCTATCATCGCTTCTGTTACCCCACTCGTTCGTTCGCTATCCACTGCACCGGAATCACCCTATCTTGCCTGCAGGTTTTATCCCTTTTGCTTCCTTCCTCTACGACCTTGGGTAACTAAGGCTTATGCTTAACATGGCTTTGGCAACAAAAACGCCCCCTTCCCATTTTTATAACCCGCAAGGTTGCTGTCCTTTTATTTAGTTATGTTATATTGTTTGTCACACTCAAGTCCTCTCACTGCCTCGCCACCATTTTGGTTTTACCCTCCGCGATATTTTAGGTTTATTTTTCAAGTTTAATTGTCAACTCAGCGCCTTCTTTGTATGCATTATAGCTTTGCTTCCAACAAAAACATTTATATTGCTGCTGTCGCGTTTCTGCGCTGCGGGTTTTGGTTTTTGGGCTTTCCCTCTGTATGACAAAATATTATTTGAAGCTACTTGACGCATTGCGCCCGGAGGGGAGAGGTGTTTCGACGTAAAAAACGGTACCCTCTACCGCGTTAATTAGGATCTGGGATTTTCCTGCAGCCGACCCTTTTCCCATTAGCCTATCTGAAATAAAAGCAGCTTATTATTATTCCCTATGCCGTTTCTCTTTTGAATATGAAGAATGCCAAGCACCACGAGGAAGTGTTTATTTCTCCGAGATTTCGGGTCTTCTTCAGCCTATTACTGGAGGTAAGGCATACGCATACTTTTGCAACTAGGTCAATTCTTTACTTGGTAAGCATTTAGTCAGAAAGTCGTTCCACAGTCTCGTCCGACTAGAACTATTAGGCCGGTGGCATCATGGCACGCGTTAATCGACGAGACTCGCCCGTTCCACCCATCCCGGTAGATCTCGGTTTCGGCTCTGCCGATTGCCTTCGATGTCGCGAGGGCGGGGGCGCGTTTCTGCTGTGTCAATATAAAATTCCAAGAGGAGTATGTGCGAGTTATTTTTTCTCAGCGAGTGTTCAAATGCATATGCACACGGGGCAACGTTGCAAAACTGTTATCGCTCAGGATCATTTACTGTCTACTTCTTCAGAAACTCCAAAATTATGTGAACCGCTGTGAGCTCAGCAATATTTGGTGACTAGAGTCATGAAATGTCGAGATTGGTATTGTAGTTGGCGGTACGGCGTATATTTTGTGTGGTTAGTTTTGTTTTCTGAATTAATTGATTCCTTAATTTTTCTCTAGGCTTTGCATTTATCCAGATGAAGGATTTTGATTGCCAGGAAATTGTGCACATTTATGTTGGACTCCTATAGTAGTTTGTCAGTACTAGACGGGTTTTCCGATTTCCATTCGATTTCTACGGGCTGATCCTGCGCAGGCGTTTACCTGTCTGCGTTAGGGGGCGGTTTGGCGCGCAAGCGGACGTCTTACCTCATGAATTGACACTCGACCAGTCACCTGCGTAATAAATCTTGTGCAGGTCATTTCCAACGCTTCTTCATGTAGGACAATTTTTTTGATTCGAATTCCATTCTACACCTAAGGTTCTCGAAATCGGCCATCGCCCTACACAGACATGCGATTTCGTCTTTTGTCACGTGCCTCTTTTTCTGAAAGTAGGAAATAAGAGTTAGCAGTAGCTTGCCAGCAAACAACCCTCATGCCTTTTGTGTATAATGGCCACCAACGTCCATTGGCATTTTCTGAGCAATCGAAACGGACGCGGCTCACACGAAATTTCTGAGTTCATCAGTCTGGGTGACGAAAATCAACCAATCGAAAAGGCGTTGTTCGTATTTCTTCTGAACCTGTTGGAACAACCCACACAGTAGACTTATATCTCATCGTGTTGCTGACATGCGCGTTGGCCGTACCTTTGTAAGGAAAACGGAAGTAAAATTAATATTGATTATAAACCCACCGGATTGTGTTCATCGCTCTGCCCTGTAAGTTATGTCGAAATTCCTGGTGGAGGTATAAAGTTTATGCACAGTACAAAGGAATTATGACCAGCGAATTTCTAACAGGAAACGGTGATTCTTATTTGCACATGTTTGTGTCGATAGTGTTGATCTTCTGGCTTAATTTAGAGCAAGTGAAATGATTTAAACCGCGAAGCCTAGAACCCTTGTGTTACTTTCTTCGCTTGATGTCTTGTAGCCATTAAGGAAATTGGACTCAGAAGTTACTATCGGCTACGTAAACGGCGTTTATAACGTTTGCCTTGGTAGAAGATAAAAGCCTGTGACTACTTTTGCTTGTAAGATTTGGTTATGTAGCCCCACCTGATGAGCACAAGACTGTTGGGGTTAGGATTTGAGGGCGCAATATTGAGGGTTAGAGTTAGGGGTCAGGATTAGAGGTTAGGGTTAAAGCAACTATTTCTCTATCAATCAAATTACAACCGTGCATTTCCAATAGCTTTTCTTTTGCATACAACTACTTGACCTTGTCGCCTGTGCGTTCCCTGGCCACACCTGCAAGAACCCCTTTTATCACCGGTCCCGTATTGCATGTGGCGGGGGTCTGTTCACTTCAGGTGGGACTACATAACCACATATGTTCATTTTGCCTAAAGGGGCTTAAATGCCGATGCCAACGAGAGTGCGATTCACAGTTAATAAATGTCAGGAAATGGAAGTTCATTGTCGGTGGTTTATTCATCTACCAATCAGGCAGGCCAGTTCAAGGGACGTGGGGAAGTCGAAGACAGCCTAGGACACATCATCTGTGGCCCTACGGGTAAGGGTGACGCTGTCTGAGTTCCAGTGAACAGGAGAGTACCACCACCCGCCTCACTTCAAGGTCAATCTCAGCGAGATTGGCGTTGAGCCAGATGGGCGTACGCCACGGGCTCTTTGTGACGGCCTACGTGGAAAGCATAGTGGTCTCTGAGGACGGCTAGACAATTTCGCTGCTGGGAAAGCCAGACGATAATTACACTGTTCCCGCCGAAAACCTTTTCAATGCAGCCAGTATCTTCATATGCAAGTCGCCCTTGCGTTGGTTTACTCCTCTTATTGTATACTTTCGCAAACTTGGGCAACAAATATACAAAAGCATCGATAACCCCAATCATACAGGCACATAACAACCTCTTCATGAAGCCATCGAAATTCATGTAGAACAGGCGACAGTTGTGAATTGTTCCTGCGCATTCTTGCGAAATAAACATGACAGTGTGCCCTGGCTCAATAACCAAGAGTACACAGACATAGGGACATTGCATACATAAACGTATATCCGAAGAGGCGGTGATGTGTCTAATTTGCACTTCACCCGCCTTATGTAGCCCACTTTTGTCATCCAGGCATGTTGTTATGTCAGAATAAACAAGTTTCACAGATAAAAGCACCTCCCGACTGAAAGTCACCGTTGAAACCACAGTCAAGTCTCCGAACGCATGTCATCTATCGTCCTTACACAGCCTGCCACCGTCAAATATTGAGTGATATGGCGAACAAGGAAAATAAAATCTGTTTGGTAAGATCCAACGGCTTATATGCAAGCATCTGGGGAATTTTGTAGCGGACTTCCACATAAAAATAAAACTGAGTTTTAAATTGACAAAAATTTTACAGGATACAGACAAAGCTGCAGCATCCAAACGTCGGAAATGTGGTCGGACGTTCAAGCCCTCAAGAGAGAATACAGTAATATCTTAAGTAAACCCCTCACACAGCAGGTCATGGTGGGCAGTAATGCCCGCATCAGATGACTGGCCGATTCTGCCTGAGATGGGGAGAGAGAGAGAGAGCGTAAGGTCGACTGGGGACTCCGTTCGCACGGCATTTAGCGCACATTCCACGGTATAAACGATCTGACGCTCCTTTAAACTATCATGATGCGCTAAAAGATGTAGCTTAGAAGGCTGGCAACTGATGGGGTTACTACGCCCTCTCGGCCTTGATAGTCAGAGAGCAGAAGCTACTTTTTAATGTGGTCTCTACGGTACTCCCACTAAGTTGGAATCTGAATCGCCCCTTCCTTATTTGTGTAGAAACTTGGCTCGTCGTACGCTGACCAGGATTGTGTGAGGCGCGTAAACGGGCTGTTCAGCCTTGTCAGCAATGCGCTCGATCCTGCCTCCCGTCAGTTTGCCCCTGTCTTGAAACCGAGTTCAGATAGGAGAGGGTGGAGTCAGTACGGTAGATGCAGCGCTGGTTCAATACCACTATAGGCTATTTTGCGTACAAGTCACCACCCCGGGGCCGGCCTTGCTGCCACGCAAACAGTGGACATCGTCGTTCATGACATTCGAACAGTCAGTGGGCAGTGCTTAGTTTCTGAGCGACTTCCGGCAAACAGATGATTACGCGCACTGAATTTACTCCATTGTAAAATATTTTTCCGCCCTGGTGTTATGGCGTGTAATGCATCCTATTCTGTAACACGGCTGATGCGAACGTAAAAATGTCAGGATCTTCGACAAAGCCTATACGATCGCGGAAGACTGCAAGTTTATTAATTTTACGAACCAGTGTCTACAACTGACCAATTAAGATTTGTTTGGAGCAGCGATAGGTAGCAGTTTTCTACATCGAGATTGGTAGCGATGACAACTGCTGAGCTAATATCTACTTTCAGCGGTCTGTGACAGGCAGTTCATCCCTCTCGACAGTCAGGCACCTAAAACCATGGCATTTTATCGGAGTCTAACCGCCGTTCTCATTAGTCGCTCTCCGCTGCAACGGGTTTTCGGTAGTTATTCCATAAAACACATGACTTGGGGTTTCGCCCTATTCAGGTTTTCCGGACTTAAAAAATGTGAATGTTAACAGAATTTACCGGTCTATAGTGACAATTCGACCGCCGACCTCGACGATGTTCACCATGTGCCCCACATCAGGGTTTGAGTAGGGAAGGCGGCTTGGGCAGCGCTTACCGCACCCCCTGTCTCCTCCGACTGCACCCGGTGTCAAGGCAGTCAAGAAAACCGAATGCGAGAGGGCACAGTTGGATGGTAAAGCGATA